TTCCTCCACTCCACATTAATACATTTGTTGAGCATGTGCTGTAGGAACACCATGTCCCATGTAGGTAATAAATTTGTGTGGGCTGTTTTTGCCCTTCAGGAAAAATAAGCCAAGTGCATGTCTGTTACAAAACAGAATGAGAAGGGCAGTGTATTAATTCCCTTCCCATTACTGGGACAAAATATTCAACACCCACAACTGAAAGTGGAAGAAGTCTATTTGGCTCAGTTTTCAGTGGGTGCAGTCGATGGTTAACCTGGCTCTGTGGCCAACACAGTACAGTAGAAGTACATGGCAGAGAAAAGATGCTAACCTCATGGCAGACAGAAAGCAAAGAGAGAAGGAAGGAGGAATCACTGATGACTATATTGTCCCCTTGATCTAATCACCTAAGATTAGACATTTGTCATTTGAGGGAGATTTTAGATCTAAATCAGGAAGGGAGATAGCATCTGTTGGGTGCTGGTCATGAGCCAGGCATGGATGATGTGTCTGCTGCATAACCTCACAATGCAGTCAAGTGGTGCACCATTTTCTGCTTATTTTGCAGAGAAGAAACCTAGTATAAAAAATTAAGTAATATTTAAAACTCACATAATCATGTTCCTAACTCTAAAACATAAATCCTTGGCTTGCCTCAAATAAAGAAGGTATAGGTGGTGAAGAGTTTCAGAAAGAGAGAATGAAATTGAGACAGGCCTTGATGTTAGGGTTTCAGCTGACATGTATGTTGGAGGCATTCCAAGAGGAGAAAATGGCAGTGTTACGGCTCATGTGCCTGTGATGAGGTGTCCTATCTCAGCTTGAGACAGGTCACTGTGCACCCCACCCCATCCACCACCACCGCCACCTACCAACCTTAGCCCATCAATAGATGAATGAATAAGGAAAATATATGAATGGTATGGCCTAAGGAAGAATAAACAACAATGAACTGCATATACCTGAGCTGTACCCTTTGGAAAGGAGGCTAATTTAAAGTGGTAAGGAGTAGAGCTTGCTTTTCAATGTGTCCTAATGATTCTAGGGCACAGTTAAATTTTGAGATTAATGGTTTAGGACTACTAAAGAAGAGTGGGCAGCAGCCCAAAGTCCATACCTTATACTGCCCTTCACAACCAGGCATTCTCAGAAAGGTTCAGGGACTATCCATTAATTTTTTTTTATTGAGTTTATTGGTACATTTTAGGTATACAGTACAGTTACATTCATTATTGGGATCTTGTACCTTTACATGACAGGTCTTGGTTCTCATTTTTTCCCCTTGTCCCTGCCCTCCCTTCACCCCCTCCTCCCCTCCCCATTTACAAACACTTTATTTCCATTGTTTTGTTTTCTCACATTTTTTTCTTTCCCCTTATTACTTTTCCCCTACCCTTCCCACTTTGCCTACACCTTTAGCCCTTTTCTTCCTATTTCACATTGTCCATTACATCATTAGGATCTTATGTACTATTACAGTTTATTCACACCAGAGAAACTATTTGGTATTTATACATGTGTGACTTATTTATTTCACTTAGGAGTATATCCTCAATATTGTATCCATTTTCCTATGAATGAATCTAATTTCTCATTCTTTATGGCTGAGTAGTATTCCATTTTATAGAAAAACCACATCTTCTTTATCCAACCTCCAACTGATGGGCAAATGGGCGGTTTCCAAGTTTTAGCTATTACAAACTGTGCCGCTATAACATTAATTGTTTTATATTCCCACAATCAACACCAAGCAATGAAAACACCAGAAGGCAATTTGGAAACATCAGCCACTTGCATATTGGCCCCACCTTCTAAGTCAGTAAACATAATCTAAGCAAAATGACACCCCCACTTCCACCTAGATGACTGTTCCCAACTCTCTTCAATAGAAATTCTAAGCCACGAAGTCCATTCTTCTCCTTAAGAACCTGCTCATACCTTGGTCAGTGACTGACACTCCTATGTCTTATGATCAACTGTGTACACGGCTTAGTGATCATAAGTCTGGTCAAATGTCCTCCATATGGTGATACCAACTGTATTGATGCAATCTTGCTGAATAGGTCCCCATTAGCCACCAGCAGGAGTCATACTTGGATCTTGCAGATGGCCCCAGCCACTGAGAACAGCCTTCTTTTGGGATGGTCTCACTCAACACCCACATAGTCACAGTGCTGAACAGGGTTCTAACTTTTAGGGTAGAACTCAAGCTATCTGCTTAACTTCTCTGAGCTTTATTTTCTCATCTATACAGTTAGCATGGCATGTCCTTGGGGCTGGCCACTCCTATAGAATGGGTGCCCTGGATCTAGCACCTCAACTATTAATATCTTAATGGTGTCTTGGTGGCTTTGTGTGATTATTGTGGGAGGAAGCAGGAGCTTGGAATGAGGTCATGTTAATCAAGCCTATTCTGGATACTACCTGCCAGCCAGTAGATTTTGAATGAATTCTACAACATGCCCTAGCAGGGCTTAGGAACAGACTGTTAACTGGCAGCATTTGTTGACACAGGCTCCTATGACAAAACACCACAGACTCTATAGATTAAACAGTGGAAAATTCTTTCATCATGGCACTGAATGCTACAAGTCCAAGAGCAAGATGTTTCTTCAGAGCCTTCTCTCCTTGGCTCACAAACCACTGAGTCCTCACATGATGAGTTCCCTGTGTGCACACATAGCTGGTGTCTGTGTGTGTCCAAATTTTCTATTCTTAGGAAAACAGCCATATTAGATTAGGGCCTACACTGACAGCTTTATTTTCACTTCATCATTGCTTTAAGGACCGTCTCTCTAAATGTGGGTATATTTGGAGGTATTGGAGGTTAGGATTTCAGCATATGAAGTCTGAGGGAAGCACAGTTCAGCCCATAATCCTGGGAAGACTCAATAGAAAAGATCCAAAAGAAAAAAGTACACAGTTTGCATGCAAAATGGGTTCTAGAGCCTGGACTCTTGGCAGGAAACTTAGAGTGGATATGCATTCCAAGCGAAGGTCTCTAGCCTCGATATCATCTTCTGTTATAGAAACAGTACCGAGAGTAGCCAAGTCAACAACAGGATGACAAACCATGTGGGCACCAGTCTTTAGTTCATAGGAATTATCAGGTGGCTGCCAGCTCCAATGAGCTACATCCTCGGTCTTCGTAGGTATTATCTACCATAGCCACACTTAGAGATCCTAAAAAGTCCTGTTATTGCCCTTTCAGCTACTGGAGGGGGAGAGGCCAGGAAGGGCATGACCTGAGACTGAACTCAGCACAGCACATCTTGCTGTGAAACAGAGGATCCCTAGAGCTTACTGTCCAAGCAAAGCAGAGTCCCAGGGTCATTTAGAACAATTCTGTGATGTGTGTTAGATGGGAAAAGAGAGTAGAAGACTCAGAGATAAAGAAGACCTATCTCTAACCTAAGTTAAAGACCCCCTATGGTTAAAGGGTGGCAGATGCTGTGAACCTTTACTTATGTTGTCTTCCACTGGAGACCTCATAGAACTGGATCCAAATATTTAAATGGTAATTATAAGTAACAGCACCTATTGAGTGCTAATGCAATGCTTTACACTGCCCCAAGATCTTTAAGTGCATGAAGTGACACAGAGCCCAGTGATGCTCTCTCTTCTGCCCACAGACCAGGATGCTCAGGTTCCCTGAATGCCTTAGAATAGTTCAGCTCATCCCACAGCCAAAGCAGACCCCGTTGCAGCCAGCCACTGGCAGAAAGTATGGGCATGTGGGTTGAGAGTAGAAAGGAGGTTTGACTAGCTACAGTCAGTGAACTGGTTGGTGGCAGGCAAGGCTAGCTCCACTAGAGTGGAGGCCTATGGAAGTTTCTCTGCATATACCACTCTAGGAATTCTCCCAACCGTGACTCTTCAAAGCCACCCTGGTGAATTCTTTCCCTTGAGTGGCTCCCAAACACTTGTCCCATTTTTTCCAAAGCCTTACAAGTTCAACATTCATTGTTTGAATTATGATTTGAGCTTGCATGGGTATTTGTTCCTGTATATTTGTATATATTTTAAAAGAACAAAAGTTCAGTTGTACATTACATCTTCAAGAAAATTTGCAGCCTCAACATTTTAAAAACTGAGGCTTGCATGCTGACTGGAGATTTCCTGGTATTGGAAGAAAATGTTATTGTGAAATGGCTGAAATGCTTCATACTTTTAAAATTTTTTTCCCTTAATCCTACAGTTGGTGTAGGACAGAGTCCCTAAACACTACCAACATCTCTGTTCCTCTGATAGAATAACATTCTCTAACACTGGCTGAAATACAATCAATTGGAGTGCAAGAATAGAATTCATTAAAGGTAGACACCATCTATTTAAACCAGTGGTCTATGTTTTAAGTCACTGTCCAACAATCAAAAGAATTAAGCAAAAGAAACAGGGGAAATATGGAGTCAACAGCTATGGAATAAGTTGATTGCTCTAAGAATCATCTCTTTCAAATATGCTAGCCCAGGCAGTTTTAGAGGAAGCTCTCAAGGAACTTGGCATAGCTTTGCTATTTGTTACAAATACTGAATGAGAAACCACTGGGATACAGGCTTTCTGTGAGCAATGAGAGCTGATTTGTTCTGCGTGGGATCAAGCTGTTCAGCTGAGATCAAGAAAGATGTCAGCAATTAGCCAGTGAAGAAATTAGGTTTTTATAGGGCATAGGGATAGAGGATGTAATCCTAAGGAATCTAGGGTGGAATGCTTGGGGTCAGAATTCCCAGAATGGTCAGTGCAGGTGTGCAAATAATACCAAACTTCCCAGTGCTGGAGAGATTGTACATCCTGTCTTAAATTTTCTTTGTAGCCATCTGTTCTGTTTACTGAAGACAGCATGGCCCTTTAGTGGTTTCCTATTGTTTGTTGAGGGTTGCATGTTTGCTGAGAGGGTCTCACTCAGGTCAGGCACAACACTATTTAAACTGTGCTGTAGAGCGGAAACAAATAGAAACATCTAGTTCCTTCTGTTGTGCCCAAGTCGCGAAATCCCCAAGAAGACCACCAGGAAACTCTTCTGATGTAAATACATGAGGAGTTTATTGCAAGCTCGAGCCTGGACTCCCAGTGTCACCGACACAGCGGCTTCAAACTGGAAGTCTTGACCCACTAAATCAGGCTATTTTTATAGGGTTTGGGTGGCTTGAAGTTCTCTCTATTCTATTGGCTTCTTTTCTAATTTTCTAAATCTATTGGATGTTGCTGGGGCTCTTGCAAAAGCGGAAAGTTTACTTTAGCTTGGGGAGAGGGTCAGTTCAAAAAGGGGTTAGTATGCTCAAGGATGCAGTGTACTCTTCTTATCTATGTAGAACTTCCTGTTCTTTCTCCTTGAGGTTGGAATGGCCTTCCTCCCATCCTCCTGACTCTGTTCTTATCACAAGTAAGTAAATTAAGCAAACCGAGCAAATTTTTACTGACTAAGTTAATTTGAAGTTTGGCCCTGATACCGGATGGCTTTTCAGCTCAAAATAAGAGTTAATTAGGCTGAGTAGAGGGTCTTGGGATTTGGGCCCGATTTTTAGGGTCCCACATTTCCCCCTTCTCATGGACCTTGGGACCCAATCTTGGGGACCTTGTGGTGATGTCCTCATAAAACTACTTCCTGCTGTTTGGGGGCTTCATGGAACCTAAGGCAGGGGAAGATCTTCTGGGTCTCTGTGGTTTGGTTCCATGTTTGTGGTGCCAATCTCAATTCTGTTGGGCCTCGAGTTCAATCTCAGCTTTTTGTCTCGCATTAACGAATAATTGTCGAACTGCTACCTCCTGGAGAGTCCTAGGAGAGGTCAAAGGGACATATTTATCAGCAGAACAACAATCCCAGGATTGAATCAGTTCCAAATGGATGGGCCTTAAGTCTCTCAGAAGTTTGCTGTAGAGGCTTTTAATTTTTGAATTCAGAGAATAGGCCTCTAATGATTTTGGGAAAGTTATAATCTTATATAACCTGTATGGGTCATTTTGGCGAGCCCATATTTCTCGATACCTGTTTGAATTATATAGATCGGGTTCCTGCATTTTTGGAAGCACCGGTATAGTGGGATAATGGCACATTAGGTGTACAAGATAATTTACAAAATGTGAGAGAGGAAACCAATCAGACCAAATTCCACCTCGCATCCAATTGGGTTCTTCCCTGTCAAATGTTAGATTCATGATCTCTCTGTGCAATGGACAACATCCTGACAGTAGGGTTGTGTTCCCCTCCCGAATTGACATTTCAACGTCAGCATATTGTATTTTAGGGGCCCAGTAAAGGCAAGAATTTTTAGGATACAAGTGCAGCAGCCATGTCATGGTGGGGTCAGGAATCCAATTTTTTCCGATGGTCTCAAAGAACTTGTCACTGAGGGCTTTTGGGTCAAGGGCACATCCCGACCTTAAAAGAGAAGATTAAACAGGAGGAGAGCATTAAAAAATCTTTTAAGCCCTTGAGATGCCTTCATCTTTATCAGGAGGAGGCTGATATTGTTATCTCAGTACCATCAATTGCACTGAGCTTATTCGTTCCCTAATAAAAGCAGTTAACTTATTGATTAAACAGGGTCCTATCATAAGCAAAATCAAACCCATAATCAGAGGTGTGGTGAGGACTGAAAGCAAAGCAGTTAGCCAGGAGGATGAGATGAACCAATTTTCATACCAACTTTGGTTATTTAATCTTTTTCTTTTATGTTTTTTTTAAATCTTTCTTGAACTTTAGCCATTGAATTTTTAACTATTCCTGAATGGTCAGTATAATAACAACATTTTTCTCCTAGGGCTGTGCACATTGCTCTTTGCTGTTGGAACACTAAATTTATTCCCCTCTTTATTTATAGAGTTACCTCTGCTAAAGAACTTCAAGACTCTTGAAGTTTGGTAATAGATAATTTTATTCTTTTTATATCTTGATCTATAGCTGCCCTCAACTGGTTATACTGATAATGTTGGGAACTGATAGCAGTCACTCCTATTCGGCTCCCACCAGTCCCATTCCTAACAATACTGCAAGGGTGATGGCAGTAGTGGGCTCCCTTCTATTTCTTTGAAGCACTCTTTGCTTTTATAGGGAAGGCCTCAGGCCATCTAGAAAAGTACAAACCCATACTAACATTTATTTATAACCTTTACAGGGGATGGATATAATTATCTAGTTTTTTTTTTTTTTTAGTTGCCCTTTGGCTTATATGTCTACCTTAGCATTGCCATTCACTATTGCACCTTTTTTTCCGAATTATTATAGCTACTTTGTCAGATTTTCACATTGCCTTAAATAACTACATTATATTCTATTTTTAATAAGTTTGCCCTCTGCTGTGAGAAGACCACACCCCTATAGACTGTGCCATAGATATACCAAGTGTCAATCAGGAGTCTGTGTAAACATTTACCCTCTTTTCTTTTGCCCATCGGAGAGCCTGTATGAGTGCCCATAGCTCTGCTCACTGCGCTGACCATCCAGTGGGGAGGGGTCCTGCTTGGACCACTTCATCTTGGACTCAAGATAGCCAGCATAGTGTACCCCATTTTCCATGAAGCTTCTCCCATCCTTGAGCAGGACGAAATCAGCCTCAGGCAGGGGGGTCTTTCTGCAGATCTAGGTGACTGGAGAACAATTCATCAGTGACCCTGAGGCAGTTGTGATCAGGGGGCCAGGTTCTGAGGGCAAAAAATAGCAGGGTTTAAGGTTTTAAGTGGAACAAAATATAGGTGGGGATTCTCACAGATGAGGACCTGATATTATGTGACTCCATTATTTGAGAGCCATCAATGTCTTTTTATTTAATAGTTCTAAAAGGCATGGGGAAACCGAACAATTTACTTTTTTTTTAAATTTATTTATTAATTTTATTGAGTTTATTGGTACATTTTAGGGATACAGTACAGTTACATTCATTTACCTGGTCAACTTTCTTAATTAACATTACTGTAGCTGCCAGGGCTTATAAACAAAGAGCTATCTCTTTACAGCTGGATCTAAACTCTAAGATAAGTATGTCATAGGCTAATTTTATGGGCTTACTCCTTGCACCCCTAAAGCAGTATGATTTCTTTTCTTTTCTTTTTTTTTTTTTCAGTCAAGTACAAACTAAAAGGCTGGGTCACATTTAGGATCCCTGATACAGGGAGCAGCAGAGTTAGTTTTAGCTGTTTAAATGCTGACTCTTTTTCTTTATCTTATAGCAATTACTGTCTTTTGGGGCCCTTTAAAGATTTATATATAGAGAGAATCTAGATCCCGTAAAAACCTTTTATCTAAAAAATTTCTTCATCTGCTTTAAGTCCTTTTATCTCTAAGCAGTATAAATTTTATATCTTGCTTTTTGAAGCAGCATTAATAGTCTCTCAATACCCTGTTTTTTTATTTAGTACATCAGAAAATTAACAATAATCATAATTTTATGTATGAAACTTCAAAAACTTTAATTAGGTATCAAAGCATTTTTAATAAAACCTCTTAACTATTTTTTTCACAGAAATCCTATTTTGAAAATGAGCACTATAAGCATATCACAGTAACATATTTAGAATCTAACCCTTTGATGATAACCAATGTAACATTCTATAACAACATATTTGGCAATGTTTATTGGGGGTATATCTTTTTAGAAGGGTATGAAAACTATTGAGGATCCTCTTAGTGAATTAAGACCAGAATAAATTTTTCTGAGCAGCTGTCCTTTTAGTATTAAAAGGAGTCTATTTAGACTTGAGTTTATACTTAATTATCTTGACAAAATTTTAACTTATAAAACCAGTTTATAGAAATTAAATTATTACTATCCTTGCTGTCATTTCAATCAAAATATATAGACACAAACATATAAGACAATTTATGAAACTATAATATGCTCAAATGTATTTGGCCAATTGAATTATAAAATCTCTCTCTTTTTTTTGTTTTTTGTTTTTGTTTTTGGTACCAGGGATTGAACTTGGGTCCTTGTGCTTATAAGGCAGGTGGCAGCACCATTGAGCTAAAGAAATCTCTATCCCTAGAACCTCTTTTATTTAAAACTAGTCAAAACTTTTGCAGATCAATTAACAGATCTCATAGAATTAGAATCAAAAGGAATGAAAGCTCTTTGTTATTATAAAAGTAAACCTTCTGTAACAAACTTGAAACCAACAAGCAAACATACATATTTTCTTGTTAAATCATTTCCGTATACCTTTTCTACATACTTAAACCTTCTGGTCTTGTATATCTTTCTTTATATTTTTCCAACAAGACAATCATACAAAATCTTTTCATATCAAAAGTATATCTCTTTTACCCATAGCTTTCTTAATATTTTTCCTCTGCAGTCTCACTATAAACCTTCTATAACAAACTTCAGCTTAATGTGTCCTTTTTCTGTTTTCAGATTGTTACATCTTAAAATTTGACTGGCTGCCAATAGAACAGTATTAACCTTGAGTTTTTATTGACAAAGTACAGAAAAGAGCAAGTTAACCCTATAATTATAATTCAAGAATTTGCAATGCACAAGAAATGCTTAAAGCACACCAATTAAACTTAATTCAAATTGAAACAAAGATACATTTGTCAAATAGTTAAAATTTCTAATTTGATTTTTCTTGTAAACATCTTTTGATGTCTGGTAAAACACAATTGTAGTTTTTCTGGCTTGCAGTGGTTTTTGTGTTTGTTTGTTTGTTTTGTTTTTTCCTTATATTTTTGTCTTTCAGAATTTTCTTACCTGATTTTAATCTATTAGAAATTTTCTCATTTTAGTTCTTTTTAATATGAGTGCAAGCCCTGTTTCATCTTTTTTTCTGAGTCCTATCCTGCTTTCTCATTTGCACCCTCCAGTGCAGTAAAGCTAAACAATTTTGTTCTTGCCCCTTATCTCCTCCACACCTTCGATTTTAGTGACTCATTGAGGGGGAGGCAGTTCGATTTCCTCCAAAGGGGAAACACTGGGATTTGCCTGCAATGATGTTACATTTTCTGAGAGGCAAGTTCACCCTGGGAAAACAGCAGATTTGACAAGCAATTGTTTTAAAACCAAAACTAAATAAATAGTCCAAGTTGTCAAAGTCTCAGGTAAGCAAAATAAAGGCAGATAACGTTCCTTTTGTCTAGAGTTGTACTGTGGGCAAAGTCTGGCTTAGCTGAGACCATGATGACTCACAAAGTTTTTTTTAAGCATCTTTGGTTACAGTTTTGTCTTATAGCCCCCCCATAAAATTGTTATCAAAATTTTGAATTATGCTCTTAACACTTGGTTTAGTATTAGCATTCCCCATGACCATTAGATACTCTCTTGTCCAGCGAAGCAAGACAAACAAAGGGTGGGGTGCTGTTCCAGAAAACGGCCTTGTTTATTTACCGGGAGGGCTCTTTAAGCACGAGTGCCCCCTCCCTTTGTTTTGGTGCACAGACAAGGCTGCCGATGGCTTTTGTAGCTCATTTTATTTACTCTCCTAACCAAGTCTCTTTCACATATACAGTCACACAAGAGGTTAATATATTCCCTCCCTGAGGCCCCTTCCAAAGACAAACTAGGGAGCAACCCAGGGGATCTCACCATTTAGACAGGATTTTATCCATTCGCCTTCTTTCTGTTCCACTACCAGTGAGCTGGCCTCCGCATCCTAGAAAGGAAACCCAGGAAATCCCAGGGGCATGCCTCTTCCTTTTCAAGGAGGCGGGCAGTCATTCTCTCTGGTAGAACTCTGGTCAAGGTCCAATACGGGCTGTGTCAGTTAGTCCCTTCTTTCCCGTTGGAGAATTTGACTCTGTATTCCTCTTCCTGCTCAGGGAAAGAGCCAATTTAAAATTTAGTGAGAAAGCAATCCAGCAGGGTGTTCTTGGAGCCAGATCCTCAGAATTCTCCTCCTCTTTGGTAACCAATATTGGCTCCAGTGGCTGTGAAGGCAAAAGAGGTTTTAACCGGGGAAGGGCAGGGTGGGGGTGTTATTTATTAACTCTTTTTAAACTACAATGTAAGGGACCTGGTCAGGATGGCTCTGAAAAGCAATCATTTTACCTTTTCACATGGTTTCTAAATCTAGAGTTTCCCCTAATGGCCAACCCGAACCAAAGCCTGGCCATTCAGAATCACACAAAGTCTGATATTTTCCTCTCTTAATTTCTATTGATAGTTCATGTGCTCTAGCTTTCACATCCTTAAAATGTTCAATCATTAAAGAAAGGAGAGTAATTTGAGATTGCCCAATTCTGTGTCCATCACGGTCAACACAACAACAAGAAATATACTTAAAACAATCACAAAAGACACCATAAGACATCAAATACCAAGTGGATCCAAAATAAAACCAAGGTGGTGGCATAGCAATGCCAGCATGGGAGCAACCCATCTCACCTTTCCGGATAGAAAACTTTTAACTATAGAAACAAGTGCGAAAACAAATCACAAATCCTCTGCCAAACTTCAAAAGCAAGTCACAAAGACCTTGCCTAAATTCAGAAGCAGAGCATAGTCTTGCCTGGGGCCAGGAACATCTTCTCTACGACACCAGTCGGGTTCCATAAGGGCTCGTCAGCCTGAGAACCACGGCTGGCCAAAATATCTCGAGACTCAGAACATAAAAAAATTCAAACAACAGAAGAACAAAAGACTTACATGTGCACTTATTGCCGGCTGGACTCCTCCAGAGAGAGCATCCTGGGTTAATTGGAGATCCTGGATGAGCCCCCAAATGTGCCCAAGTCACAAAATACCAAGAATTCCACCAGGAAACTCTTCTGATGTAAATACATGAGGAGTTTATTGCAAGCTCGAGCCTGGACTCCCAGTGTCACCAACACAGTGGCTTCAAACTGGAAGTCCTGACCCACTAAATCAGCCTATTTTTATAGGGTTTGGGTGGCTTGAAGTTCTCTCTATTCTATTGGCTTCTTTTCTAATTTTCTAAATCTATTGGATGTTGCTGGGGCTCTTGCAAAAGCAGGAAGGAGTTTACTTTAGCTTGGGGAGGGGGTCGGTTCAAAAAGGGGTTAGTATGCTCAAGGATGCAGTGTACTCTTCTTATCTCTATAGAACTTCCTGTTCTTTCTCCTTGAGGTTGGAATGGCCTCCCTCCCATCCTCCTGACTCCGTTCTTATCGCAAGTAAGTAAATTAAGCAAACCAAGCAAATTTTTACTGCCTGAGTTAATTTGAAGTTTGGCTCTGACACCGGATGGCTTTTCAGCTCAAAGTAGAGTTAATTAGGCTAAGTCGGGGGGGGGTCGTGGGGTTTGGGCCCAATTTTTAGGGTCTCACACCTTCATTGAGCTAGCACAATCCTGAAGCCATAGCTGGTGGGAAAATAAGTTTTCTGGAGGAGCCATTGAGGGTCAAGGAAACAGGGCATTCTGTCACAAGTCACTTCAAGAAAGCATTCCACGAAGACTCAAAGAGTGACAACTAAAGTAAAAACCAAAAAGCGACACTGGGTTGGCAACATAAAGGCCACTCCCAACTGTGACAATCACAGTCTCCATTGAGAGAGTGAAGACAGAAACTGACCAGAGTGAGTTGAGGGAGCAATGTGAAGTGAAAACAGAAAAATAAAGATAAAACAAAACAAAAAAACTCCAGAAACCTCATGAAGAAGAATTGAGAAGAAGCAGCAGCTTCACGAATTTTTTTAACTGAACATACTAGAACTCATTTGGATGCAGGTGAGAAGGATCCAGAAGTAGGAGTCAAACTGATGTGACACTGATGATTTATGTAATGTTGTGGCTGTATGGCCAGGGATTTAGCTCAGCAGTATGGCCACCTACCTTGCAAGCGCAAGATCCTCAGTTGATCCCCAGTACAAAAAAAAAAGATGTGGCTGTAAAGACAGTTGTTGAAACACTGTTTTTCGTTTGTTTGTTTGTTTGTTTGGTACCGGGGATCCAACTCGGGTCCTTGTGCTTGCAAGGCAGGCCACTGAATTGCTGAGGTAAACCCCCAGCCCAAAACACTGTTTAAAATAGCAAAATATCTACCGGGGATTTATCTCAGTGGTTCCACCACCTGCCTTGCAAGTGCAAGGTCCCAAGTTTGATCCCCAATACCAAAAAAATAAATAAATAAATAAAATAAAATAGCAAAATATAGGAAACAACCTAAGTATCCAATAGGGGCATTGGCTACATATACAAAAATATCATTTAGCCATTCAAAGTGATTTTTTCCCCATTAAGTTTATTGGTACATTTTAGATAAACAATACAGTTACATTCATCAATGGGAACTTGTATCTTTACATGATGTATCTTGGTTCTTATTTTTTCCCTATTCCCCTGCCTTCCCTTTACTCTCTTCATCCTTCCCTATTTACAAAGACTTTGTTTCCATTTTTCTTTTTTTCTAATTTTTCTTTTCCCTTACTTCCTTTCACCTACCCTTCCCACTTCCCCTACTCCTTTACACCTTTTCTTCCTGTTTCACCTCAGCAATTATACCATTCGAACCTTATTTATACTTTAGTTTAATTATACCATTCAAATTATACCATTCCAATTATACCATTTGAACCTTATTTACACTTTAGTTTTTCACACCAGAGAAACTATTCAGTATTTACATGTGTGTCCCATTTATTTCACTTAAGAGTGTGGCCTAGCTATAAATGTCTCTAGTTTCTCATTTTTTATCAAAGTGATGTTTTATAACCACAGATACTATTCTCTAATGTTAATGACTGAATGTATCTCCCTAAGATGCAGAACAAGGCAGCAATTTCTGCTCTTGTCACTCCTTTTAATATGCTACAAGTGCTAGCCAGTGCAATAAGGCAAGAAAAAGAAAAGGCATACAGATTGGAAAAGAAGAAATACAGCTGTCCTTATTTTCTGATAACATGAATGTCTATATAAAATATTCTAAGAGATCTACAAAACAAGACAGAACAGATCTCTTAGAACTAATAGATTTAGCAAAGCCACATGATGCAAAATCTGCAAAGAAAAATAAAGTGTATTTCTATAAATTACTAGTGGATAATTGGAAACAAAGTAAAAACACAATACTGATCATAATTTTTGTGAAAAGAAAGGACTTTTACCAAAATCCTAGCACAATTCTCTGTAGACAAAGATAAGCTAAATATAAAATTTAGATGAAAAAAACAGAGACTCAAACAATTTTGAGAAATAGTAAAGTAGGAAGAATTGTATATGTTATTTTAAGAATTACTATTGTCACATTCATGAAGTAATATGATACTGACAGGGTTATAGAAACATAAATCAATTTGAAACACAATAGAAAGTTCAGAAATAGACCCAGACAGGGCCAGGGCCAGGGATTTAACCCTTGTGTGCACAAGGTCCTGAGTTTGATCCCTGATACAAAAAAAAAAAAAAAAGGAGAGAGAAAGAATAAAGAAAAAGAAACAGACCCAGACGCAATGGCCAATTGATTTTTTTACAAAGGTGCAACACAGCTCTGAAAAGAGATAATCTTTTGCACAAATGGTGTTTGAACAATTGAACATGAACTCAAATGTACGCTTTATATATTATACAAAAAGTAACTAAAACTCAACCAAAGCTCTAAAAGTGAAATAAAAAACTTTCAAAAGATAACAAAAAAATCTTTGTGACCTAAGGTTAGACATAGAATTTGTGGTTATGAAGCCAAAGATAAATCATAGAAAACTATATTGATCATTATGACTTCATCAAAGCTAAAGATATTTTCTCTATGGGACTCTTTTGAAAGAATAAGATGAGCAACAGATTTAGGAAAAGTTTTTGAAAATAATATCTGACAAAAAACCTATATGCAAAATACATAGAGAACTTTTAAAACTCTGCACTACGAAAACAAAAACTCCAATTAGAAACTGATCAAAAAATCAAAGAGAGGAGGGTGTGCAGATCCTGGGGAGTAGTGGTATGTGCCAGACCAACCCAGGTTCAAGCAGATACTAGCCAGGGATTCACCCCTACCCTAGAGGCTGGGGCACACCCACCCAGACAAAGGCCCACCTGTAAAAGAGTTATACAGGCTCACAAGCTTCAGTCAGAGGTACACCTCTATATTCTCACTGGCCAATACCCTAGCCAGAGCCTGCTCAAACAACAGAACTGGGGAACACAGCCCCCAGTAAAAGGACTTCTCAGATAACAGGTACATAGAGGCCCCAGCAAGAGGCACACCTAGATACCACCCCAAGTGTGCTCAGGCCCCAGCCAGAAGCCTGATCAGACAACAGGTGAGCTCAGGGATTCAGAAGGCCACCATTCCAAATTCAGAAATTGATGTACTGGAGAGAAGTGCAGAAAAGGTCTCTTGGTGGATGGCTAAAAATTGAAGACCACTGGGTGAGCAAAAATTTGCCTCAATAAAAGCACAGCAGAGTGCACCTATTGAAATGAGAAGAAACAGAAAAAAGGCCCCAAACCAGACTTCCAGATCATCTAAGGCAACCACAAAGGGAAACAAGATGGAACAATTTATACTCAACTCAACCTGGGCTCCCTGAACTGGCAACAAAAGAGGATCTGGAAAAAAGGAAATCAGAAATAATTTCTCAGATAAAAGCAGAGGATTGTGCCCATAGTGCAAGATATGATTAATAAATATGCAGAGGACACAGATAAAAAAATAAAAGAGCTATGGAACAGGATGGAATCTCAAAATAGGAAACAAATGGAATCCATAAAACACAGGCAAACAGATTTCTGGGAGTTTAAAAACTCCATTGCAAGTTTACAGAGCAGAATGAACCAAAACGAAGACACAACTTCAGATACAGAAGATAGGATTGCAATTAGTGAACAGGAAAAGAAAAATTTCTTAAAAATAGTAATGGACCACAAGAAATCAATCCAACACCTGTTAGATGATGCAAAGAAGAATAATATAAGACTGATCAGAGTCAATGAAGAAACAGGAGAGAGTACAGATGACATAAAAAATAAAGTTCACAGAAGTAATGGCAGAAAACTTCCCAAGTAGTGGAAAACAATTTGACATACAGATAAGTGAGGCATATAGGACTCCAACTAACCATGATAAAAAAAAAAATCTGCACATAGGCATATAATAGTTAATATTTCAGAAACCCGACTGAAGAACAAAATGCTACAAGCAGTCAAAGAAACAAATCACATACAAAGTGAAGCATATCAGAATCAAGAAGAAGCCAGGTATGGTGGCACATGCCTGTAACCCCAGCACTCAGGAGGCTGAGGCAGGAGGATCACTGTGAGTTCAAGACTAGCCTGGGCTACATAGTGAGTTCCAGGTCAGTCTCAGCTACATAGTGAGAAAAAAAAAAAAAAAAAAAAAAAAAAGTCTTCTCAAGGCAAGAAGGGCATGGAGTGATGTATTTCAAGCCCTAAAGGAAAACAGCATCCAATCCAGATTGATGTACCTTGTAAAACTATCTTTCAAAATTGATGGAGAAATAAGATACTTTCATGATAAAACAGCACCTTAGAACCCTCATGAATACCAAACTAGCACTCCAAATAATTTTAAACAATATCCTAGGAAATGACAGTGAGGATCACAACCCCAGGAAGCCCAGCAGGATGAATCCATCAGGCACAACAAGAAATTAAGTGCAAAGTGGGAGAATCCAACAAAAAGAAAAAGTCGTGACAAGAATAAGTCAATACATATCAGTTCTAACCATCAAAGTTAATGGTCTCGTTTCACCAATCAAAGGAAATAGATTGGAAGAATAGGTTAAGAAGAAAGATCTAACAATATCCTGTATACAAGAAACACAATTCAAAAAGAAATTCATAGACTGAAAGTTAAAGGGTGGAAAAGAGTAATCCATGAGACAGGAAGCCAAAAAAAGCAGAAGTAGCTACCCTTTTTGTACATCAAGTGGATTTCAAACCAATACTG